CTGATTACTGAGAAACTTAGTTCTTTTTACCCTGTTGGAAGCAACAACTAGGCGACAAATAAAAACCCAAACCAACTCATCTTCTTGGTGCTTAATTGGGTCCACTGTCTGGCAAGTTTCAAGCTGCCTTGCTAAATGGCAAGATCTAGTTTGGCCTGAATTTTACTGGTTCTTTCACAAGTGTAGTTGAACATTGCCAATTACTTATGAAAGTTATCTTGCCTATTTAAAGATACATTGAAGCAGAAACCCAAAGGGTAACCTCTGGCGCTTGACTTTGTAAAGATAAATGGCTTTTGTCTGGTTAATACACACAATGAATACTTTAAGTTTTATCTTATTAATGTAATGAATTGTTACACTTTCCGTTAGCGGATATAGATAATTGTGATTACCTAATCATAATATACTTACTTCATGAGTTCCCAATCCTTATTAGGTGGTATTAGAGAACAGTTCTTCTCTTAACTGTCAGGATGTTGGATCATTTGTCCTGGACCTTAGAATTACCTCCCCTCCTTGTTATGGAAGTGTTAGGAATTTAATCTGTGGGGGAATTAGCCGACAACAGGGAGACTGTGCAACTAAAAGCGTTCAGGCTGGGTCTGTGTGGCTTCATGCCTGTAATCCTAACACTCTGGGAGGCCAAGGTGGGAGGATCACTCAAGGTCAGAAGTTCAAGACCAGCCTGAGCAAGAATGAGACCTCGTCACTACTAAAAATAGAAAGAAATTAGCTGGACAACTAAAAATATATAGAAAAGAAATTAGCCGGGCATGGTATCACATGCTTATATGTAGTCTCAGCGACTCAGGAGGCTGAGGCAGCAGGATTGCTTGAGCCCAGGAGTTTGAGGTTGCTGTGAGCTAGGCTGATGCCATGGCACTCTAGCTTAAGCAACAGAGCAAGACTCTGTCTCAAAAAAAAATGCTTTCATTCTTAATTCTTACTATTCTGCATATCAAGGAATATTGCTCTAGCTGTTTTTCACTGCTTGCCAAATATCAGGGATGTGGTAGATACAGTAGGTGCTGCAACCCTGGGACCTTTTCCCATGTACTGTTTCACTTCATGTAGCAGTTCTTAATCAGGTATTTGGGGCCGAGTATGGTGGCTCACGCCTATAATCCTAGCACTCTGGGAGGCTGAGGTGGGTGGATTGCTCAAGGTCAAGAGTTCGAAACCAGCCTGAGTAAGAGCGAGACCCCATCTCTACTATAAATAGAAAGAAATTAATTGGCCAACTAATATATATAGAAAATTAGCGGGCATGGTGGCACATGCCTGTAGTCCCAGCTACTCGGAGGCTGAGGCAGGAGGATTGCTTGAGCCCCGGAGTTTGAGGTTGCTGTGAGCTAGGCTGA